AAAGGTTGAAAAGGAGAAAGAGTTTGAGTTGGATAAGGACTTGAAAAATTCAATTGTTCATATGTTTATAAAAAAAAAATTTTTAAAAAAATTATTATAAAGAGTTTAAGGGACAATAATACTCGGTTTATTGAAAATTAAAAAAAAGGAAAAATAAATGGCCCCACACACATTTTTTTTAAAAATTGGGATGTATAAGATTTTTTTCCTTTTTGATTTTTTGTCTTTTTTTTGCAAAGATCAAGATTCAATTTATATAATAGAGAACCGTAGGCCAGCTTATGTGGCGCAATCACAAACAAAAATTCTCTTTTAAATCAGTTATTTTCAAAATTAGCCTTCCGTTTCATGAAAAGTTTTGATTTTTACTAACATCGTGACATTTTATGAAAAGTTGTGAATTCTACAAAAAGTTGTGACTTTTTATGAAAAGTTACGACTTTTATGAAGAGTTGTGACTTTTATGATGAGTTGCAACTTTAATAAAGAGTTGCGACTTTTATGAAGAGCGACAACTGTAATAAATAGTTGCGACTTTAATGAAGAGTTGCAACTTTAGTAAAGAGTTGCGACTTTTATGAAGAGTGACAACATTAATAAAGAGTTGTGACTTTTATGAAATATTGTGACTTTATGAAAAATTGTGACTTTACAAAAGAGTTGTGACCTTCTTGATAAGGCACAATAAGCATTTATTGATACTATCCTTTGTTGTTTATAAATACAGAAATTTCCTCTAATTTTAAAACAACGAAAATTTTGAACTTCTTCTTCTTCTTCTTCTTCTGTAGAATTATATTCATGTACTTTGCTCATGTTGAATGACTTGCGTGATACCATTGTTTTTGTATCAACACACTTGTGAATAGAATTTCTCTATCCCGAGAGGATCAATTCCTTAAAACTTTAGGTAGTAGAATGGACTAATTTCTTAAGGGAACAATGTGCATTCACCGGGCTCTATTTTTCCTTTATGTTTCATTTTGTTACTAAAGATTCTTGTATGTTGTTTACATCCACTAATTTATGCTTACTTTTTATTTTTTATTTTATTTTTGTGTACATGTTTTAAACTTTGTTATTTATGTTTATGCTTTTGATCATTATGTTGAAGTAAAGATATGTTAACCAAGAGTTTGATGTAATCATTAGACTATTAGTGTCATGTAGATTAGAATTTTTAAACTTGTAAAATAAATGACTTTAATCTATTTAATGTTTAGTGGCTAAAAGATCCATGAGATGTGCAACAAAGGACTTTCAGTTTTCAAAAGTTAGGGTGGTTGAACACTACGTTAGAGTTTTATTTATTCAACTTTCTATCATATCGAGGTATTCAATCGATTAGTGACATCTTATATTTATATAAAAGAGAACCCGAAGCCCGCTTACATGGCGCCACCAGAAACCAGAATTCGATTTTTAATTTTTTTATTTCCAAAATTGGCCTTCCATTTTCATGAAAAGTTGTGACTTTTTTTTAAAAGTTGTGACTATTATGAAAAACTTTGACTTTTTTTAAAAGTTGTAACTTTTATGAAGAGTTGTGATTTTTGTGAAAAAATCATACTTTTATGAAAGATTGTGACCTCTCTAAAGGGTTGTAACTTTTTCAAAGAGTTGTGACATTTCCAATAAGACACAATAATTATTTGTTCACACTACGCTATGTTTTCTATAAATAGAGGAATTTATTGCCACTATAATTTGTACGTTTTTCCCCACTACAGGGTAGTCAAATTCAAATGCATTAACTGAATTTTTTTGTAGGAAGTCTGTTTCATTCTTGAATGTTTTCATGTAGCTTAAACTTTACTATAAGTCATAGTGATTCAACTAACTATGATAATTTCTTTTTTCTATTGTGGTGACCTTTTTTTAACTCTCTTAAATTTTCAGGAAGGATGATTGAAAATTGGTTTTCTCTTTTGTCCCTTTCTACAGGTTTCTTCATATAAACAAAGGAAATTGATTTATATTGGAATGCTACATTACTACTCTTAGACCTCTTAGTGCACAACTCATACACTGCTAAATTGTTGATGATTGATCATTATATTTGGTTCTTTAGTAACCAAATCTTTTATTTCTATTGTAATTATATATATATATTTTTCAAATTCAAATATATTGATTAAGCTTCTTATAAATTGTATTTCATTTCTCAAAGTTTTCTTCCTCCTATTTCTTGAAGTTTAATTTTTTTTTTACTTTAAATCATAGTGATGCATGTATCTATTGCAACTTCTTTTTGCTATTTTTGGTGACTATTTTTTTTTGAATTATGTTCAAAATTCAAGTGAGGAAGATTAAAAATTTATCTTCTCTTTTATTTCTTTCTGCAGGTTCTCTTCATATACTTTTCGAGAAAATTGCTTGTGGGTTCTGCTATATTTGATAGCAGACAACAACAAATATAACTAATACGGAATCAATGATGAAGTTTGTTAAAAAAACCCAAAAATTGTTGCTGTCTTGCTTGCCACAGTTAGTATATTATATTGATTATTTTTTTAGATACAAACATTTTGTATGTCACTGTACTATTTCTAGGATATTTGTATAGATACATTTTTTATTGCAAGTTAACTAATTTTTTATATTTCTTCTTCTCTTATTTTTGAGCATAAAAAGATATTAAGTTTTGGTGAAACTAACAAATGTCTAAAATACACTATAAACAAATATTTTTTATTGTCAATAAATATGTAAATTAACAAAGAATGCTACAACATTTACCGACATTAATTAGTTTCTATTTAATTCAATGTTTCTATAGACTTTAAGGACATTTATACAAAGTATCAATTGTCTCTAAAAATATATATTTAATAATAATTAAGCTATTAATTACCATGAAAGATTATTTTTGTTGTATTGATAACTCATTCTTTTGATAAAATTTTTAAATTTTGATAAAAAGAAAAAACTCTTTCTTTTTTATTCTTTCAATTCAATTAAATTTGTGAACTATAAACTTTGATACAACCCCAAAAGATTATATTTTTCACACATGCCATTTTCTTCTTGATTGTTAGGAAAATAAGGTCTTTTTATAATAATTTTCGATATTTGTGTGTTCAATTGATCAAAAAATTATATTATGAGATTTTAATATGTTTGTGTAAAAATTTTGATTTACTATATCACTTGTGAACATTTAGATGTCACCTACTGCTTAGTTGATAATTGCATTAATTTTTTTTAACTACCTACTATAACCATAACAATAACTATGCTTTAATCCAAATAAATTGGGGCCGATGATTTGAAACATTAAAAAAACCAATGACTATTTTGAAACAATGACAAAAATTTTTATGATAATAAAACTTTTAGGGTCATTTTAAGCATATACTTGATATGACATACAATAGTAAAAAAATGATTGATTGAAGTTCATAAGAAAGGAGTCCAAGATCGTCCATTAAATTCTGTTACTAATGATCTTGTATAAGCCTGATTTTTCACTTTACTTGGGAGTGTTGTTGTTCAAAGGTTTTTGGTCTATTTTTTAACGTCTAAAATTGTTCTTTATAATTTCATACAATTTAAAATTTTTCATTACATCATACCAACCATTTACATGGAGATTTTCTTAAACTTCTATCTCATACTTCAAATCTATCTACGACTCATATTTTTTGTATAACAAAAATAAAATATAAAAAATATAGCACTTAAAGATTTCGGAGAAACGTTTTTCATAAAGATAAAATGTTTGTGCCAATTATGTATTGAATATACGATTATTATTAAATGATCATATGTAAGCTTAATAAAGTAGTTCAATCCCGTGCGAAGCACAAGTAATTTACCTAGTTATTTTTATAAAAGAAAAATACAATGGTTTTGTAGTATTTTTTTTGTTAACAAAGTATCCATTTTAGTATTTAATTTAATATATGTTTTATCAAGTGTCAAATAAGATCGTGGTTCATTTTTTTAAAAAAAGGCCATGAGTAATCTTCTTTATTTAATAAAGAATAGGGATCACTTGTTCTTTGACTAGATTATAATTTTAAATTAGTTTAATCCTTACGTTCCTTGAACATTTCCTTGTCTTTCACGAAAATTTTATACATATGTTGTCACATTAAATGATATCAACCATATTTTCATTTTGTTCCCATTTCAGATATGGCTTAATGGGAACATGCTCAAACTACTCCAAGTGGGAGATCTCAATGTCGAGCAAAGGGACAAGGTGGAAGAGTAAGTCATTGTTAGACATATTTTCGAGGGCGTGAAATCATACAGATTGGTGTCCCAAGGGATATACAAAATCTGTCAAGGAACCTTAGGTCCATTCGAAGGGAAAAGGAGTGAAAATTTGAAAGAGTTTGAGTCATTGAAGATGTCCCCTAATGTGTCATCACGTGATTTTATTCACCTTTTTAAAATAAAATGGGCTGAATTGACGGATTATGAGGAAATTTCATATTGGAGAGCCTTAGCTTATTTAACAGGCACTCTCTGTGAACCTTGGGGTAGTAGATTAACTGATGTTTATCATGACATATGACCTAGTGAACCTTTTAGCATTTACATTAGTTGTCTTGAAAACTTGTGGGAGGATTTCAGTCTTTGAATTACTTATAATCTTTAGTTGCTAATTTGTTTTTCTTATATATAATTTATGTAGCTTGTACTAATATCAAATTATGTTATTAATCTTAAAAAAATTCTTCTTATCAAAGTCTACAATATATTAGTTATTTACATTAAGAAATTAGATTTGAATTTTGATTAAATATTTAATTTGTAGATGATGATTGGACGTATACATATCTTTTCGATTTTACATTAAGTATGAAATCTTTATGAGAATGATTTTGCTTAAATGTGTATGTCGCTGCATAATTGAATTAAAATTCTTGCCTAATTATATGTCAATAACAAACATAGCATCAAAATGTATCATTGCTGACTCAACCAAAGGTGAAAAACTTAACGGTGATAATTACGACATCTGAAGTCATAAAATATGGTATGTACAGGAGGAGCAAAATGTTTTGGAAAGGATAAAGCATGTTTGAATGAAACAGAAGAGGTTAATACTGCACAACACAAAAGGGATCTTGAAGCTTACAAAGCTTGGAAGAAGGCTAACTCCAATGCACGTGGAATAATAAGTTCTGTAGTTGATGATCTCATACATGAATGTGAGGAATTCCCTACTGCTCATGCTATGTGGACACTAACAAAAACCGTCATGATCAAAATATCAAACAACACGTTAGGTTAATGTCAAACATGATAGCTCAACTCAAAAGTGCTGGACATGTTCTTTCCTTTGAGCAATAAGTTCAGACATTAATTCGGTCTCTACCCAATAATTGGTAACATTTGAAGGTTAACTTGATCCATAATGATAGCATCACAAAATTTTCCAATGTTGCACGTCATGTTGAACTTGAAGATGAGCACCTTGGTACTGTTAAGACTGCTCTTCTAATGCCTTTGCGGCAAAGTCAAGTGGTACAAAATCTTCAGGTTTCAAATGCAAGAAAACTGGAAAAGAAATGGGAAAGACAAAGACACTGGAGAAGGACCCTCTAAGAAAAAGAAGAAACGAAATTCCAAGAAAGGAAACCTTTTGTTATGAAGAGAGACAAGAGCAAATTGAAGTGCTACAATTACCAAATGTTGGGGCATTTCGCTCGTGAATGCATGAGCCTAAAACGGTAGCATTTCAAAATAATGCATCTCTAAGTGCTACATATGTTTTTAGCACTTCTTTACTAACTGAACCTTACCTTATGTGGACTGTAGACTCGGGATCCACCAACCACGTATGTCGAGATAGAGAGGCGATTGTGGAGTTTCGTTGAGTTTCATCTAAATCAAGGTGGATCTATGTAGGAAATAATGGTAGGCTTGAAGTCAAAGGTATAGGCACTTGCAAAGTGGACTTGCGTGGTGGTCGTTCCTTAATGTTGCATGACGTACGATATACTCTAGAGATTCGACGAAATTTAGTGTCTGTGTCTATTCTTTTAGACATTGGTTTTGTTTTTTTTAGTCGTAATGGTGTTAGCATAACTCTAGATAATGTTTTATATGGTTTTAGACTTCGTTATGACCATTTTATTGTATTAGATTGTAATACTTCAACTTATGACTATTATGTTGATCGTTGTGTAATGACATGTTATTCAAGTAACAATGATGTTGATGTTATTACATGGCATACTAGATTATGTCACATAGGGAAATATCGAATGAATAGGTTGGCAAAAGAAGGGCATTTATGTTCTTTCACCAAAATTGAAATGTCAACTTGTGAAAATTGTCTTGTTGGAAAGATTACACGTAAACCATTTGGAAAGGCTAAGAGAGCTGATTTCCCACTTTAATTAATCCAATATGATACTTGTAGTCTAATGAATGTAAGGGCAAGGTCTGGTGCTAGATACTTCATTACATTTGTTGATGATTTCACGCGTTTTGGTTATGTCTTTTTGATTTATTATAAATCTGAAGCACTTGAGTGCTTTAAAAGATATCCTAATGAAGTTGAAAATCAATTAGATAAAAGCATAAAAACTTTAAGAACCGGTCGAGGGGGTGAATATTTGTCAAAACAATTTAAAGAATTATGAACTGAAAAAGATACTATCAGACAGTTAACTATTCCTTATACACCTCAACAAAATGGTGCAGCTGAAATAAGGAATAGAACATTATTAGACATGACAAGATCAATGATGGCGCAAACAAATTTGTCTATCGCTTTCAGGGGAGATGCTTTATTGACCGCGGGTTACATATTGAACAAAGTGCCTTCGAAGTCAGTGTCTTCCACTTCTTATAAACTTTGCGCTGATAATAAAACAAACATAAATGATCTACGACCGTGGGGTTGTATGGCATATATTAAAGATTGTTTTGGTGAGTTCGGTAAACTAAGTCCAAAAGGAAAGAAATGTATCTTTATAAGGTACTCTGAACGCTCTAAAGGATATGTGTTCATTGATGAACGAGAGGATTGAAGTATTACTAAAATTCTATCACGAGATGTGAGATTTTTGGAAAATGATTTTCCCAAAAAGGATAAAATAGGTGAAGTTGAGCCTCTGTACAAAATATTAATTTAAGAAGATCTGGTAATATTGTAAGACATACTTAATAATTAAACGGATCAAGAAATGATTCCTGATCTGAGTGGGAGTTATGAATCTCAAGATCCTATAGAGGAATATGAACTTCAAATATGTAAGAGTACAAGAAAAGGTGTACCTAAACGATCTCATGGAATTGATGATTATGTTTTCCTGGTAACTCCCCCTGAATTAGATGAACCTAATTATGTAACTGAGGCCTTATCAAGAACTGAAAGAGAATAATGGTGAAAAGTTATGAAAGAAGAATTATAGTGCATGAAAATCAACAAAGTCTTGGATCTAGTTGACTCCTAAGGAATGTAAAGCTATTGGTAATAAATGGATTTTTAAAGTTAAATGTAAATCAGATTGGTCAATAGAAAGACGTAAAACACGATTGGTTGCAAAAGGTTTTACTCAAGAAGTTGGAATAGACTATGAGAAAACTTTTTCACTAGTTGTGAATTTTACATCCATACGATTACTTTTAGCTATTGTTTCATATTTAGATCTAGAATTACACCAAATGGATGTGAATACCACTTTTATTAATGAAGAATTAAACGAAGAAGTCTACATGGAACAACCAGTTGATTTCCTTGTTAAAGGTCAAGAAAAGAAAGTTTGTAAATTTAAAAGATCGATTAATGGCCTAAAGCAATATTCAAGGCAATGGTATGTGAGATTTCATAAATAGGTGATGTCATTTGATTTCACCATGATCAATGAAGACCATTGCATCTATGTGAAAAAGTCTAATGGAAAATTTGTAATTCTTTCTCTTTACGTAGATGATATTTTATTAGCTGGAAAAAATTTGGAGTATCTGAAAATTTTTAAGTCATGGCTTTCAAAATCACTTTATATGAAAGATATGGGGGAAAAGACTATATATTGGGTGTTAAGATCCAAAGAGATTGTTCCAAGAAATTTTTAAGCTTATCTCAAGAAACTTATGTAAAGAAAATATTGGAACGTTTTTGAATGAATAGTTGCAAATCCATGGATACTCCTGTAGCAAGGGGTGAAACTTAAAGACTTGAAATGTGTCCTAAGACTGAAAAGAAAAGGAAGACATGTCTCAAGTTCCTTATTCTAGTGCTGTCGGGAGTTTGATGTATGCTATGATGTGTACTCACCCAGAAATTTGTTATGTCGTAAGTCTAGTTAGAAGGTATCAATCCAATCCCGGAGGAGATCATTGGAAAGAAGTAAAAATAATATTCAGATATCTGAAGGGAACTACAGATCATACATTGTGTTATAATGAATTTGATTTACACATAATAGGTTATACCGATGCTGATTGGGCTGGTGATCAAGATGATAGAAAATTAACAGCAGGTTATGATTTCTTACTAAATGGTGGTGCAATTTCATGAAAGAGTAAGAAGCAAACTTGCACAACTCTTTCAACAATGGAATCTGAATTTGTGTCTTGTGTGTCTGCAGTATAAGAAGTTGTTTGGTAAAAGAGATTCTTTGAGAATTTAAGTATTGCAAAAAATTCTAAGGGTCTCATGATTCTATATTGTGATAGTCAAGAGGCTATTGCATACCCAAAGGATCCTAAGTATCATAGAAAAAACAAACACCTCAACATCAAGTATAAATTTGTGAGAGATGTAGTGACAAATAGGGAAATAACTTTGCAATACATTCCTACACTTGAAATGATAGCTTATCCTTTTACGAAGGTCATCTCAAGAGACTTGTTTGACAAAAATGTTATGGCTCTAGGTTTACGTAAAGTATGATGATATTTCAGTATTGTAAAATGAATTGATTTTTATAAAATTTTCTTCTATGTATAAAACAATTGAACTTATGTTCAAATGTAGTATGCGTATGATATTTTTCGAACAAGTCGCCGGATTGAATCCCTTACACGAGCAATCACCTCTTATGTTGAGGAACATGAATAGATGAGTTTAACCACCATATTAAGACTTGTTTTATGATCCAGACTAATGTTTCTCTAAGAAAATGTGTTTATAGATTACTGGAAAAGAGAAACTAGGGTTAAACATCTTGAGGTGTTTAGACATAGATCAGTACGATGTTGGATAATCCGAATGATGAGACGCATGCACCTGTATAAGGTGAAAACATCGTAGGACGTGTTTCATACCACGTGTGTCTAGCGATCAACGGGTCAATGAAAGAATACTCCCTGCTTCTTCATTGTGTGAGACCCAGAAAATTTAAAATAACTTTTCAATGAAATACGCTTTGACCTTTTGTTGTTTCTTGAAGTTTCAATCGATGTTGCTACTTTAGCATGTTACTAATAGCCATGAATGATTCGGCAATGCAGTTCATGTCTAGGAAAGCAGTTGTATAGGAGCATATAGATTCAAGTAGAAAGTAAAGACATTAAATGAATAATAAACTTATATAAATAAGCCGTATATTTCACTAAACATATTGGCATTGAGTGTGATTCTATATAAAGTTAAAAACATAAACTCGAGTTAACCTCTTTATGAGGATGAGGGATCAAATAAGTAATTATTTAAGTAGTGAATGAAGTCGTGGGTATTGTGCGTGATGATGACTTTTTTAACTATAATCAATCTTTCCACATGTGATTGAATTCCTATGTAGGGCTTGTAATACCTTAAAGGTAAGCTCGTGATGCTCAAAGGTCGCACGAATTATTTGTCGTATGATTTGTATGTTTAGTTGATGTTATGTTAGCTTGAGTCTTGTCCACCATGTGTGAAGTTGAAGAATATCTATGTCGAAGTCTCTCTCTCTTTGGAGGGACTCTTGGAAGATCAATAGGAAAATCTTTTATTGTTGAAGCTGACTAAATAAGAAGTATCTCAAAGTCATTAACTCGAACTAAGTTATAGAAACACCGCTTATAGACTAACTTCCTTCCTTTAATGTATGAGATATAACAACCCTTAGGCACCGCTGAAGTTCTTTTTCAGCCTAAGAGAGACTCATTTTGAAACTGAAACTTGAAAACTCAAGTTCTACAGTCAACTAAGGTATAACATGAATGAAACCATTTTATGCCAGGAATGGTATAAAAATCTAGAATGTCTAAAATAATTATATCAACCATGGTGCTCTTGTGATCGATGAAAACAGGACAATCATGATAAACTCTTTATACTAGAACAAACTCACCAACAGGTGTAGAAACAATGAATGGTTCACTAAGTTGCTTAGGAGTAACATCAAAAGTTGCCCAGGAGTAACATCAAAATTCCTCGCAACACAAGGAGTTACAAAAGATAAACTTGCTCCTCGATCTAGAAAAGAATAAATATTATATTGAAAGACTTGGATCAAAATTGTGACAACATTTAACGAATCCTTTTGATCTTGGAGACTAGTGATAGAATATAGGTGGTTTGATCTTTTGCCAGTACCGAAAGTATATCCTTTATTTCCCCCAATGCCATTACCCTTCTTGTTATTTGGATACTCTTGCATGAAATT